ATTTATATTCCCTGATGAAATTTCAAATTCATCTAACTCTTAAACTGTTTAAGTGTTGAATTACCATTATAATGACTACTCTGTCATGGAAATATAATCTAAAGAGTTATTTTGAAACGCTTCTTAGAAAGCTCACAGATATCTATCAATTCGCTTTTCTGAATTCACCATTTGATAATACTAGCAACAACCTGTCGACTTTAACTATTGGACTATTTGTTGCCCTGTGTCCATTGCCTGGAAGCTCATTAATTACCTAAATTCTCTTTCTTTAGGTCTTGTTAATTACCCATCTCCTGTCTCTGAGGACCTTGTTAATAACTTGTACAATCTCTCTAAAGAGGTCCTAATAACACATTAGAATTAAAGATGCTTTTCTTTTAGCACCTGTCAAGTGGTGTAAATTGAGAAATTTTCACATCAGTTATTAGCTGACTGTAGTATATTTTCTAAACAAACAATTTTAGAAAAATATGCACAAAGGCTTGGCCATTTTATAACATTTTTATTTTGGAAGACAAACATCTATTTGTTTAGGTGGATTCAGTATAAAGGCAATATATCTGGTGTCTGCAGATTAACCTCCTGAGAGCTCTATTAATTAATGGGAGCAATTAAAATAATGAATATAATATATAGGGCAAAAGTTTCAAAGCAGTGGATTAAGGAGTTATAAATACAAATCCCATTATTGTTAAAGGATAGCTGAAAATACCAGCATATATTTCATTAGCTGCATGGTATAAATGCCTTGGAACGACTGAATTTACAAACATCTACAAAAAGCGTGTTTTCTTTTACTGTAAGGCCGTAACATATTTCAAATGTTAAGAAGTTAGCATAGAGGTCTCTAATACACCTGACAATAAAAGAGGAAGAAAATAATCCTTACCATTTATATAATATTGTACATCTTCAAAGACCTTAATCTACTCTAATACAATCCTCACAAAATTCTGGAGAGGTAAGAATCAATCCCATTTTACAAATAAGTGAATAACTGAAGATTTTCGTATCTCCATATTTCCATCACTTTTTACACTTTGTGATTTTATTGTAATTATCTAAAATACCGTTAATCCTTATTTTAAGTCTGGATCAAGTGAACAAGAACAATGAAAATGAAATTTACTTTCCCATAGGGTACTGCATCTGTCTAACTGCTTGGGAACAAAGAGATACTGTGCTGTAAGCAAACTACTTGCTTTTCTCTCCGCTTTTGAAATAGAAAGCAATTTTTTTTATTTTCTGTAATATACTGGTTTTAGGTTTAACCTCTCTAGTCCGGCACTCTTTGATCTGGCAATATCCATAGTTCAGCATGATTTTAGTTAGCCATATGTCCACTTATCACAGGGATGGCCAACTTTCCTGTGGTCCCATAAAGTTCGTTTACAGCCACCAGTCTGGGCTCTAAGTGTTTTATGTTGTTATTTAGCTCCAGTTTGTCCCTAAATATCTTCTAAGAGCCTAGTAAGCAGTGGAAGTGTTGGTAATGCTACTAGACAATACTGACCTCCCATAGTTCTTCAAATTCTCCAGTTTGGCACTGGTCAGACTCCGAGGGTGCCAAATTACATGGTTCAACCTGCAGCAAGGATGACCAATAAGTATTGACCAAATGATGGACAAAAGCCTCCTTTCAGGAACTTATCTAACCAACCATTAATTATACTACCAGGAAATGCTATTCTTCAAATTATTATTGTTTAATCAAAAATGCCAAACTAAATTGCTTAGGATGAACATAGGGTCTGGTCCACGGCTCACTGAAGTCAATATAAAGACTCCCACTAAATTTTAAGAAACTCCACAATGAAGCCTCTAGGGGTTCATGCTAGTCCCAAGCCTGGATAAAGAAGGAGGGTTGGTCAGATGAGTGTCGATGCGCTGACCGTAAAACAACAATAGGAATGAAATCTGATGCAAGTACGATTAACTGACAAAAGATACTGGCACAGACATCGCCCGGATAAACAAGGTCCGCGATACCAATCGAGCGATCGGGGTAATGTAGCATGGAAAGAAGGGAAGGCACCTAAGGAACGGACAAGATCTGTGCTAGTGACAATATACAAGAAAGGAAGCGTGTTGGAGTACAAGAACTACAGAAGGATTGCCGTAACAAGCCATCTAGACAAGGTGCTGATGATGATACTGATGGAAAGATTGAGATCACTGATAGAAGAACATCTAGCAGATGAGCAAGTGGGATTCAGGAAAGATAGAAGCACCATACAGCAGATATTGGCACTAAGATTGATAGCGGAGAAAGCTTGTTGAAAGAACAAGAACATCTACTACTGCTTCGTTGATTTTCAGAAGGCATTTGATAGTATAGATGAGAAAGTGACTTGGGCGGTGTTGGAGTCATACAAAGTGGATAGCAGACTTATACTATTGTTTAAGGATATCAACGATAATGCAGAAGCAGTGGTGAGAACATGCAGAAAGTGGGTTTAGAATGAGTAGAAGTACGAGACAAGGAGATTCGATATCAGTGAGTATCTTTATCACACATCTAGAGAGTGTGATGGACAAGTTCAAGGAAGAGGTAGAAGGGATATCGGTGCACGGGATGAGAATTAACAACTTGAGGATCGTGGATGATATAGTTATCATTGAGGAAGATGAAAAGAGGTTAGTGAGAATGGTGCAGGTGCTGAATGAGGAAAGGAAGCAGTATGGACTGATTATGAATATCAATAAAACAAAGACAATGGTATTTGGCGATAAGGAAATAGGAAGGAAGATCAGTGCAGATGAGATCGAACTAGAGAAAGTAGAGAAGTTCACATATTTGGGGAGCAACATGACGTATGATCTAGCCTGTAAGGAAGAAATAGCGGCTAGAATAGCGAAAGCAAGAGCGAGTTTGAAGGCGATGAATAAGATCTGGAAGAGTAAAGCAATTAGCTTAGGAATGAAGCCGAGCATCTTGAAAACATGTGTATTTAGCAGCATGTTTTATGGATGTGAGACGTGGGTGATAATGAAAGATTCAAAGAGAAGGATATTGGCATTCGAGAGGAGTTATTATAGAAAAATTCTGAGAATAGGATGGATGCAGAAGGTTACCAATGAGGAATTACATAGGAAGATACAGCCGAAAGAGAACCTACTACAGAAGGTTATAAAATGGAAGTTACAGCTATTCGGGCATATCTGCAGAATGAACGACAAGCAAAAAGTTAAGACCTTGGTATTCGGCATAATGGATGGTCCGAATAGGAGCAGACCCCACAGAGAATGGGTAGATGATATAGTAGAATTGGTGTGGAGCTAGTCTACAGAAACTAAGCCACTCCACACTGGACAAGGAAAGATGGAAGGAAATTGTGAGGGAGGCATCGGACACAAACTGGAGCTGAGCCCATGGTTGATGATGATGATGAAGAATTTCAAGAGGCACTGCAGGCCCACATAAAGTTCACTTATTTGTGTGTGGAAGTTAGGCACCTAATTACATTTGAGTATGTGTGTTCCAAGTATCTTAGATAATAAGTCAAACATTTTTTTAAATCCACTTGATTCAGAGACAGATTCACTTGATTCAGACATAAAATTTGCACCATCCCAGTCTGCACGGATCTATGGTCAATACTGAAACCAGAGCCACCACCTCAAATCTAAGATCACAGATTCAAAAAGGCAACATATTTCCTTCAACATTAAAAGCTTAATGGACAGCTATCCTTATGCCTGAAAAACAGACCCTGTCCTACCAACCTATATTCACAAAAATGTTATGTTCTTCATAAGGTCTCTATTTAAGCTCTGTAAAATGGCAACGAATTTACATTTCAGCCTGGAGGTTCTATCAGATAACCTTCAGATATACGTGTCCTCATGCAGCATGCATGGTTTCTTTGTAATTTAAAGACAGTGACGTGCATTTGTCTATCATTTACATTCTTATCTTTTAAACTTCTAGATGTCAAATTTACCCAAAGATTTCTGAGTGCATTAAGATGGGGAGGACTAGAGGAACACTTCAGACTATAAGCTGTTATTATATAATATGATAAAATAGGTACTTTTCTGAGGAGTAAGGAATCAATGTCTCAGATAGAAAAAAAAAAAGGTTAAAATACGGAGAATGAGGAAAACAAAAATTAAGCAAAACACAGCTCAAAATCTAAATTCTCAGTTTACACATTTTACCCTAATATTTAACATGCAAAGCTGACTTTTTCAGCATAACTTATGCTGTGTCCATACATTTATGCATTTAGCCATTTCCTGCCACATCACTAACTCCACTATATACATTCTATTTTACTTACCTTTCACAGTTAAAATTAGTAAAAGTAAAGTTAAATTGTGAAGTTATCACATAACTCCAATATTTAAAAGAAGCAGAATGAGTGGCCAAGAATCGTTACTGAATGGGTACTATAATATTCAATGTGATCATAAAATAGGGGAAAATAGGGGTTACTCTAGATCCAGGTAGCAATTATCATTACGAGATTAAATATATGGTCCTGCCATAAGTGCAGGAGACTGGACTAGATGACCTCTTGAGGTCCTGCCCAGTCCTATGAAACATCGACTCCTTATACTCTGTATCTGAAATACTGTAATACTGACACTTAGCTAAAGAAATAACTGCCTTATTTTAGATAAGGAAGTCTAATAATTAATGACTTCTTATAAGTGATCACTATTTAGATTCAATAGTAAATAAGCCTCCATCTAAAACCAAGTCATGAAAAGACAAATCCATGCTGAAACGTGTTGGAATGTCTTCAGAAATTCAAAACCGAAGAACACTCATAGATCATATTAATATAATACAATGTAATATCAAAAATATCCTTAGAAGTATAGCAATGGAAAGATGAACAAACTATACAAGGATTCATCCTTTTTTGCTTATAAATGGATGAACAGTGGAATAAATATATATAAAGCACAAAGATTATATACTTGAACACTACACATTTTCATTTATATAACATGCACAAACTATCAGGTCCAAATAAAATAAAACCTACCTAGATGTTGGCAACATGTTTGTGGCCTTGAAGTTCACTGTAAATGGATTACGTGAGTCATAATCAAAATTGTCCTTATGACTTTCACCAAATGCACTAGGTGATCTCAAGTCAGTGGAACTGTCTGATCCCCCATTGCTAAGTTTATCCAACTTCTTGATATCTTTTTTTCCAGTCACTCGTTCAAAAAGGCTAACTTTTTCCTTTTTCTCTTTTTTTATTTCTTTTTTTATTTCAACAGGCTTGGAAAATAGACTTATGTTTTGGTCCCATGATGCAGGGCTTTCTTCAAATGGATTTTTCTGTCTTGGCAGCGTAGCAAACTTTTGGGGCAATGAAGCACTCACATTTGTAAATGGGTCATTTTGTGCTTGAGATGCTGATTCACTTTTATCAGCTGTATTGTCAATCTGGTTCATTTTAGAAGTATCAGCACTTGATGTCCTTCTATGTGGAGATTTTAGATTTCCTGCAAACAATTTTGGAGTTAGTATATAAGCAGTGAAACATTACATCACACTTTATAACAGGTGGAGACCTCATATTATTAAATTCAGGTTTTGACATTTTGCAATTGGTTCAAATTTCAAAAGATATTGTAGAATAATTTTTACAGTTTCTTAAAAAAACAAAGCAGTTGTGGTTTCCAGTATGTAGTTAAGGAATTTAAGGAATCCATATGCTCTGCAATAAGCACTCGTTTTCTTTATTAAAATTAGGTTGTACACAAAAGGTGTCTGACCAGTTTGACATTTCAGAAAATTACACAAACATAGTTCTGTACCGGAAATATTGCATAACTGACAGCATTTTCAACTCTGGTGACAGTTTCTGGACTTTCTAAAACAATGAAATCAGAAATGTTCAAGAAAAAAATAAATCTGAGCAGTTAAACTATTTGTATATTGAACTGCTAGATAAAATGTAATGTTATTACTGTATACTTTAAACTTAGGAAAAATGGGCAATGAAACAGTTGATCTGAGGAAGTGGGTCTGGCCCACGAAAGCTCATCGTCTAATAAACCATCTTGTTAGTCTTTAAAGTGCTACATTGTCCTGCATTTTGCTTCAACTACCCCAGACTAACACGGCTACATTTCTATCATTATTCACAAAAGCTGGTTATTCTGTTTTTGGCATCAACATTTAACTGGAAATAGACATACTTACTGATTTAATCAAAAAGGCAAAGACTTCTATGAATTAACCTACCATACAGAGAACTAATTCCTAACTCTTTGTCTGCAAGTGCATGCACTAAACTTCACAGATTCGTAAATGTTTTCACACTGATAGCAACTAGATTACAATCATAGTGGCTAAGATTAAGAACAACATGTATTACTTACCACTTTCATCAACAGAACTAAAAGGTTCTAACTGACGTCTGAAAAGGTGTGAATGGCCAATTGTGCTGGATTTCATTTTTTCTGAAGACACATGTGATCCAGTTAAATCAGACATTGAATGAGCTGAAGATAATCGTTGAGGTCCCAAAAGAAAAGGTTTTTTTGGTTTTGATTTCATGTGCATTTCATTACTGGACATTTCAATGTTCGCATCAGGTATGTGAGAACTCAGAATGATAGCAGAGGATGTATCCGAAAGTGTCCCATCATTCTTTCGACCTTTCATTTTGTCTTTCAGTTTAGCAAAAGGAGATTTTGTTTTGTCCTTCATTGACAGATCAAACATGCTTGCTGTCATATTATTCCTCATAAATTGAATATTAACCTTTATTTCTCCTCTGTCTTTAGTTCTTTTTCCTTGTTTTGACTCTAGGCTAAACCACCTTGAAAGGAGGGAGGGGAAGAGAGAGAGCACAGGTTGTCATATGTTTCATTATGAAGAAAGATCATAAATCTGCATGCTATTTTCAAGTTAAATTAATCTTGATATTGTAAACCGAACACCAAAAACCATGCAAAACCCCCCTGCTCGCTATGCTCGCCAACTCCTCTCTCTCTCTGGTCACGAAAGCCTGATGACATCATTCTGTTGCGCGACAGGAGAAAAAATTTATGTACAGAAAGAGACTTTTCACAAATCTCAGTCCAACTGAGAAAGTCAGACTTCGTGCAAGGGTTCTAAACCCCACTGAGGTCAGTAAAATTGTGTCTGATTATGTAACCACCACCAACGTGGATTTGAACCTGGGACCTGACAAGAGGAGCCTCTACCCTCTGAGCTAAAAGCCAGCTGGCTCCCAGCCCATGCTGTAGAGGTCTCTTGATCTTAACTGTTGTAGTGGTCTAGGTCCGCAACGCCGTTACACCTATTACTTTTCAGGAAGAACGGCATTGTGCAAGAGGGTTTTTCTTGCACAAGAAGGGGCACTGTAGACGCTCCTTCTTGCGCAAGAGCCTCTTCTGAAAAAAATGGTGGATCATTAAGTATGCAAATGAGGCTCAGCAATATTCCACGCTTAGCCTCATTTGCATATTACTTGCGCAAGAAGCCGCGAGTGTAGACATAGCCTAGGTGCGTGGGTTACACTTACAAGACTGAATTTGGCATCTAGAATTAGAGAGCCAAATAATTTTTCCGTAACAGGTATGGCCAACTTTTCAAAAATAGCCTTTATTTGTAAATAATGTACTGGTACATAAATGTATATTGTATGACAAGTGTTTCATCTAAAACTCATATTTGTTTTGCTTTCTGCTTAAGCTTATATGATAGTAAATATTTTGTATTGTTTTTCTCCCTGATGAGGTTTACATGGGTGGCACTAGCAGAATAGTGCTCACAAACAGCCTTTGGGACCTTTGGTGATTCAGGGCCAAACATCCCATCAGTTATGCAAGTTCATCTCCAACTGCCTTTAACGGTGGTTTTACAAATAGCAAAGTAAGCACGCCTCACTGAGGTATGCCCCCGTAACGAAGGGCTTGCTTCTCACGGATAGTCGCTAGTAGCACTAACATCAGCATACTCTACCCCTTTTTTTCCTGTCTTTGGAATCATAGCAAATCCCCACCAACTCCTTCATGGAGGAGACAGGTCCCCATCATTTCCCCCTTTCCCTTAAAACCAGCTTAGTGAGGCTCCTTGGTCAAGAGGTGTAAGGGCCCATCTGACCCCAAGCATGCTCTACTCCTGCTCTGTTTTTCTCTCTAGTTTCACAGAGGCATCTATGAGGTGAAGACACCCTCTACTTTCTATATCTACTCCCCCTCTACAGAAGATCAGTGAAGGTCATTATCTCCTCCCAAGTTTCCACACAACTACTTCCCATGTTCTGAGCAGTATTGTGGGAGTCTCCAAGATACACACTGAGAACCTAATCCTGAAAGGGGGAGGAACAGACACAGGCTAAAAGCATTCTAAACATCTGCTTCCATTTCTCCTTGCCCTAAGAGGCTCTGAGATTTCCTTTAGCTCCCACTGCTCTTGCAGCCATGTGAAAAGTATCAAAGGAATGTGGGAAAATCTTCTCTCTCTGGCACCAGAGAAAAGAGTGAGGATTGAAAGAGGGAAAGAATGCCTCCATGACTCACTGAAAGGATCCAAGTAAGAGCACACCCACCCACCCACCCATTTATAGATTTACTTGGCTCTGGCAGGTGTCCACGAAGCAATGTTATACCTTGATTCCTGAGAGATTAATACAATTTCCCTTAGAAAGTGCATATTAAATGAAGTGTATATATCTAAAATGAGTTAGTCAGCAGCAACGTCCAACTGTGAAATATCAGCAACTCCACAGCTCATACACTGTCAGGAAAAAAACACATGCATATGTATTCCCACAACAGTAGATTACCATGATGAAACTAAGTTAGAGCAGGAGAGTTGGAAGTGAAACTATCAACACAGATAAGAAACCTATTATGCACATAATACTATCAAATACTCAAAGCAAATAGACTGAAAAAGAAGAGAAAAATAGTCCAATACCCTTCTAGGATTTTTGTTTGTTTTCTTTAAACAAGTTATAGCTTAAGTAAATAAAAAGGTTTCAGATCCAGAAATACCTTTTGAAGGACATTCTCAACTCAAAAATCATAACCTACCAAGGAAAAACTAAAAGGGAGAATAAGGAACATTGTCTTTTTCTTTTTTTTCTTATTTATAGTATATAAAGAAGATCCAAAAGACTGTATACTTTACCAGTATCAAGTCTTGTCTTCCTTTTTTTTTTTTTTTTTTTAAACTAACAATGTGCATTTGAAGGCCCAAAATACAAGGATTGAATTTTTTTCCATCCCTTAACTGAAGGAGTTGGGGAATTCCATCTGTAACAAGGATACTCTTCCTTATAATTGTTAGGCATTTAACTTCCATAAACATTAAAAAAACAAAAAACAACAACAAAAAAGGAGAGTTAAAAGTGAAGAAAAATATTTCTCTTTTCAGTTAACCTGACTTCACCTGCTTTGACATCAGCAATGCCATAAACCTAACTAGTTCACCCAAAGACTCTAAGGGAAGAACAGCCTAGACAAAACCTAAAGTTATAATGTAAACAACAGTAAATACACATATATCATATACACCTGTCCTTTGCACACCATAAAGCAGCAAAAGAAATGAAAAACAACTTTCCCATACCTTTGAAAGGTCACCTTTTAAAGAAAGCTCACTCACACTCATATTCTACTGGCTATATTTAAAGAAAAACACAAAGAAAAACAATCTACACACATAACGGTTGTGTATGTTCTCTCAATGGACTTAAATTGTATATTATTAATGAAAACAGATCCAGCTTCTCAGACAAGTAAAAGCTGAAGCAGTGAAAGTTCCGCCTTCTACATTGCTTGCTGAAAAACCCAAAACTTCATGTGGGATTGTGGGTTTGTTTGTTGCTAAAGCACTCTATAAAAGTAAATTCTGGCAATACAGACAACAAAACAAAAAAATTATACAAACTTCAAGTCAGTTTTTTCCAAATTTAAACAGTTCAACCTCAGTTGTTATTAAGCAACCTTACTCCGCTTCCCCAAATAAAATCTCAAATAGGAATATTGTATCTTTAACAATATTCTTGCAATGATATTCCTGAATTTGTATATATTTTCATTTTGGGGTCAGAAGAACATTACTGTAAGTTTAAACTGACATCTGATGTTTATTAACTTGTTTTGTAACAATGTCAAAACTTACATTTAAGGTTTAAAAGCAGAAATGTTAGCATACCTGTGTATATAATCTTTTACTGCTTAAGGTAACCCAGCTACTGAAATCATTATCATGAGTTAACTAACATGTGTCACTATCCGTATCTCCTTTTATTGGCACATATACAGCAAACTATTTTGACATCCATAAAACCTGAAGGAGAATTTCATTATAGAATGCACACAACTTGCCTTTTGTTCTTAAGAGTATACACTCATTGCATTCAAAGACTTATATGAACTTTTCACACCCCCCCCCCCCCCATATTTCAGTGGCAAAAATGATTAAAAACACAAAAAACTTCCCTGGAAAATAAAAGCACACGTGGCACTCACTGAAGTCAACAGCAAAATTCCCACTGATCCACTGGAGAAGGGCTATACCATGGGAACCTAATTCTGAACTATTTAATCAAGTAAAATTTTTACTGACTTCAGTGGAGTTTTGCAAGCACGAATATAGGATCTTTGTTGATATTAAAACACACTCATTTGATTTTTAAGGCCAATACTAAGTTATTTGGGTAACTTTGGAGATTGTATCTTATGTTTTAATTATAAAGAAATGTCTATGCTCTTCAGCTCATAAGAGAACATGAGAATTAGATTCAATTTCTGATTTATTATTCAGAATCAAATATGTATTTTTTTCTAATACTGATAGTAATAATTTTTGTAATAATAAATTGGATTAAGAGTTCATGGTGAACCAATCAATTCTGAAACAAAGTGAACATTGCTTATTAGAATCGGTTTTTAAAGTACAAGGTTGTATGCAGCACTCAGAGAAAAAATGTTCATAATAAGAAAAGGATTTGTAAAATAAAGTTGTGTTTTCAGATAGCAGCATTTTGGGCCTAAATTATTAAATTCCATTATACTATTGCCAATTTTTATATTGTTGTATTATAAAAGGTTAAGGAACTTGCTATTTTGGTTTTGCTTACAGTACTTTTAACCACAATAAGTGCTACAGTTGACAGGATGCCACGAGCTGTTCTTTAGAAAGCCTGCATAAACTAGGAAAATGGCCAATTACATGCATGAACAGTGACTTTTATTTAATAACCAAGTATTACATCTATTCTTAGAGTCTTTAAATAAGACTTCATGCCAAGGCTCAATTTCAAAGAAAGACCTATTGTCCTCTGCTTCAGATTCAAAATTCTTGCCCTCACATTCAAAGGTTCTGAAGATGATGGCTTTACTTATATCCTCCTATTTTTAACTTACTCCTCTTTTCTTTCAGACTATGCTTCCCATCAAAACAATCCTTGTTTCCTTTTCTCAGACATGCTGAGAATCTTGGTCATGAGCTTTTGCTCCTCGCCCAAGAGTTTTTGGTTATTTATTATTTGTATTGCTTTTCTACACTCCAACAGCCCTCTCAAAACATAAAGGAGTCAGAAAGATTCAAGACAAACTAGAATCTATTACCTACCAACTCAGGACAATGAAAAATCTAGTCTGAGCAAGCCTGGTTATTTACTAACCAATGAAGAAATTGCTTAAGAATCCTGTAATTGCCAAAATAAGGAACTCTGGTTCCTTATTAATCTTCTTCATGACCATCTCCATGCTACATAAATAAGTAGCACAGTATTGTACCACCATACTCCTTTAACTTGGGAAGGGGAGAGGAAAATACACTGTTTCTATTATATTGTAT